CTGGACCCGACACCACCACCACCCCCACCGGGGGGGGAGTACTTTCTCACTTCCCACACCCCAGTCTCTCTTAGGCAAGCCCACGGCACTTTAGCAAATTTTAAAAAGGAAAAATATCTTACACCTAAGTCCCTTAAAGCAATTAGAATCTGGAAGGCTGGAAGTATGGCCTGGGGGCAGAGTTCACCAACTTCCAAAATGGGATAAATGTGTCTGAGTTCCAAACAATATGCTATCAAATTTCCACAGACATATTTTTTGTGGCAAATTTTAGTCAATATAATGTAGTAAACTTTAAAATAGGGAAACTTCTAAAATTAGTACTTTAGTAAAAGAAACCTACCAGTAGATTCACTCTCAATCCGAGGATACTCTTCTTCCATTGTATTAACAGATGGCAGTTCTATTAAAGTGAGTATATTTTTAGATAAAGTAGAAAGACCTGTGAAGTTCTGTTGCTGCTGAGCTCTATAAACCTGTTTCAGCTGTCCTGAAATCTCTTTCCATTCTGCCTGGATCCATTTAGCCAGTGTCAGAATTGACTTTGCAACTGCATATTCAGCTTTTGCAGACTTGCAAAAAGAAATGGCACAAGAGCTCAACATTTCCATTGCATGTGTTGACTGGCCTACAGAAAACAAAACAAAATCGGCACTTAGAACTATTAAAAGCAAATAACTGAAATTATTTCAGAGTAAAATAATGAACTTTTTCATACACATAATTTCAGTAATAATTGGTAATCTCTAGAACAAAATTATTTCTTCTAAAAACACAGAATTATAGCGGTTAAGTCAAGTACACACTTTTATTCAGGACACGAATGTACTGCAACAGCTGGGAATATGAAACCCCTCAACTTACAAAGGAGTTATATTCCAATTAAGTCAAAATGCACTGAATACAGCTAAAAACCTACCAAAAAGCATACCTTGGTCTACCAATCTTAAACATGCTCAGAATACTTACATTAGCAAAATCGTCTAACATAAAGCCTATTTTATAATAAATTGTGGAACAGCTCATGTAATTTACTGAATGCCATAACCAGAATGTATGTTATTCAGTACATTCAGTACTTCTCAAATGTGTAGAGTTTTCACATCACACTGCAAAGTAAAAAACTCTTAAGTTTAACTATTATTAAGCCTAGGATTGTCTGTAATCATCTTTTCGATTACTGCCTCCCACCAAACACAGTAATATTCACACACATGATTTTTATATTTGTGTACTAACCACAATTCCATTTACTAACCTGCTGTATACAGCAGTTTGGTTTTTTCAATATCAAGTTCTGGTCCCCATTTCTCATCCACTTGACCCTGAGTTGACAGTTTCTTAAAGTGCTGGACTAGGTCCTGTGCAGTGGTGGTTTTTCCCAGCTGAACTTCACTGCACTGTGCCAGCAGTCTGGTTGCAAGTGACACATTCCCACGTTTTCTAGCAAATTTAGCTGCTGTTAGACCTAATTCCATGAGGTGGCTTCTAATTGGGACTGTTTGTTCTGGAGAGAAGAAAACATTTCATTAGGCTCTCGATTTTTTCTAACCCCAGATTGCATGAAAACATGGCCCCCAAATTCTCTATCATCCTTCCTCACCACCTCCCTAAAGACAACTCAGCATCAAATTCCTAGTATATTGGACGGTGCTTGGCATACAATAAGACAGGTGTTCACTAGATTATATGTATACGGCGAGGACAAGCAGATGGCTTAATGGTTACACCACTGGACTATATAACATGGCCATCCGAGGTTTGAGTCCCAGACCTGGAGGCTTGAAAATCACGCTGGGCACATGAGCATGTGACCAAGATCCCAAGAGAATGGACTGCACTATAGCCATCCCCTATGGGTGGGTGGGAGGGTGACTTCTCTCTCTCTCTCTCTCTCTTTCTGGGGAGCGCACGCACCCTATAGCAAAAATCTCTCACCAAAAAAAAAAAAAAAGACAAATATTTATATGAATAGTAATTCTTCAGCAATTCATTTGGACTGTTTAAAACTTAACATTCATAATACAATTTCAACTGACAAGGAAAAGGAAAAAATCTTAGGATTATCTTAGGATTTCTTTAAAAACAGGTGAAAGATTTGAACATTTGGGAAGTATTCAGTGGCCACTACAGAAATGAAAAAATGTTCAAGATCACTAATCATCAGCAAAATGCAAATAAGCCAAAAGACACACCCAATCTGGTGATTAAATTTTGAGAGATTAACAGTACCAAAGATGGGGCTAGCAGGTGGCATGGTGGTCAAGGAGCTGCACTCGCACATGGCCAACTGCAGTTTGTGTTTTGGACCTGGCTGCTTGCTCGCTTTCTATGTGTCTGTCTGTCTGTCTGTCTGTCTCTGTGTTTCTCTCTGGTGAGTGCACATGCCTCACAACAAATTAAAATTTTAAAAAACTAATAAATAAAATTAAATAATTATTTTAAAAACCAGAGATGTAGAACTTTCCTTAGATGCAGAAGGAATGTAAAATGTACAACCACTTTATAAGAAACTACAGAGGGGCCTAGTAGTTAAGGCAACTGGATTCCACAGGGCCAATCACACAGTTCAAATCTCAGGCAGCTTAGACAAACATGCTGGGCATGTGGGCTTACGTGCCCAAATCCTAAAAGGACGGAGAAATGGAGAAGGAAGGCACTGTGGCCTGATCACTCCCCATGATGGGTGCTTTCTCACTCACTCTCTGGCAAGCACATGTATCCTCCGGCAAATCATTGAAACAAAGAGAGAAAAAAAGAAAGAATGCAAGCTCTTTCTGCATAACTATTTTGAAAATCTAGTGACCCAATAATATCACTCTTAGGCATTTACTTATAAGACACATAAAAATATGTACCGAGACCTATACATGAAAAGTCACAGCAGCTTTATACTAACAGCTCAATTTGAAAAAAATCCAAATATCCATCATATGATAAAAATTAAAGTGTAAAATAGTTCTCTCAACAATAAAAACAACTGTACACATGCCACACGGGTGAACCTTAAAAATGTGCTGAGGTGGGGTCAGCCAGAAGGTGACATGGTAGTTAAGGCACTGGACTCCCACCTGACTGACTTGATGTCCTAGACCTGGTAGCTTGTTTGCTCTCTCTCTCTCTCTCTTTGGACAAACTGAATAATAATAATAAATAAAATTAAATAACTCTTAAATATATATGTGTGTGTGTACATATACATACATATATATATGTATATATGTGTGTGTGTGTGTGTGTGTGTGTATATATATATATATATATATAATGTATATATATCTTTTTACTTTATTTTTTAATGTGTTAAGGGGCCAGCAAGTAGCAAGGTGGTTAAAATGCTGGATTCCCACATGGCCAACCATGGTTCGAGTCTCAGACCCGGCAGCTTGAAAAATTACACCATGCACGTATGCATGCATGCCCTAAATCCCAAGGAGGATGGAAGAGAAGGGATTACAACATGGCCAACCCACCAGGGGTTGATTTCTCACTTTTCCACCCTCTGTTTCTCTGTCTTCAGAGAGCACATGTGCCTTAATGCAATAAAAAAAAAAAAAAAATTAAAAAAAAAAGTGCTGAGCTAGAAAACTCAGATAGAAGAGAGCATAATGTATGATTCTATTTATATGAGACAGTAGTAAAGACAAGTCTAATGTATAGTGATAGAAAGCAAATCAGTAACTGTCTGGAATAGGGTTAATGGGAAGCTGCCCCAAGAGGCACAAGGGAACCTTCTGAGGTAACAGAAATGTTCTGTTATCTTCATTGTACTGGTGGTTACACAAGCAAAGATATGTCATATTCATTAAAATGTACACTTAAAATGTGCAATCTATAAAGTTAATTAAATAAAGTTAGTTAAAAATAAACAATTAGAGGACCAGCAGGTGGCATAATGGTTACACCACTGGACTACCACATGGTCACCCATGGTTCAGGTCCCAGACTTGGTGGCTTAAACTCACACTGGCCATGTGTACATATATGTCCAAAATCCCAAGAGGAGGAAGGAGGAGAAGCAATTGAGGTTCAACCATCGCCCCTAGGGGGTGATTTCTCACTTTGTCTCTCTCTCTCTCTAATGAGCACACATACCCTATAGCAAAAATCTCTCTCTCTAAAATAATAAATAAATAAACCATTAGGTCATCAGGAAAGTCATGATATATTTTTCTATGCAAAAATGCATCATTACTTTCCCAACCACCCAATATTTACCTTTAATCTTCTCCAACAACTGATTCTGGTACATGGTATATCTTAAAGCCTGCATCCATGGCCTCACGTCATGCTGTTTACAGGAACGCAAAGCTTCACTGAAGAGTGGGATGAGACAGTCCTGCCAGAGGAAAATAATACTTAAAGTTAATAGGATCCTATGTTTGTAAACACACTTTTTAAGACTCTGATACAAGGAGGCTATGTTGGATTTTTCCATGTTTTTTAAACCATATACATTATCTTTATTTTTTATTCTTAAATGATAGAGTCTCCTATGTCATAAAATCCTATTCAACCTCCCATGTAGGTGGGACTTACAGGCCCATGCCACCACACATGCCTTATACTCTAATTGTACCTATTAAACTATCTCCTTCCTCATGTATCATCTAACCAACCATGAGAGGCATGTATAACACTAAGAAAGAAACCTTTATTTTACTATCTTCGAAAAAATTCTTTTAGGAAAAAGTAATTTTAGAATATTAAGTTCAATGTATCATTGCAATTATCAGTAAAGCACATTTTTATAAAATGTAAACACAGCACATTTACTATAAAGTAGAAGATTACCAAAAATAAAGGGGAGGGTGACAGCATGTTGGCATAGTGGTTAAGACAGCAGATTCTGGCAAGACTGACTACGTTTTGAGTCCCAACCCAGCAGCTTGAAAAACATGCCATATGTGCGTGTGCAGGCGTGCCCAAAATTCTGAGAGGAAAATGAGGAAGAAGGGTCAGTGGCATGGCCATCCCCTTCTAAGGGGTGCTTTCCTACTTTCTCTGCCCATCTTTACTGAACACACCCACCCTATGGCAAATTTAAAAGGAAAACAAACTAAAGTGTTTTTTATAACCAGATTCTTAAGATTATAATTTTGAAGAAGGGCCCACCTTTGGTTTTATCACATTTGGAAGGAAGTAGTGAACTCTGTTCAAGTCAAATCTAAAATTTACATAATCAATAAAAGGGAAATATCTTTTTTTGGAGAGGTTTTCGCTATAGGATACGTGCACTCGCCAGACAGACAGAGAGAGACATAGAGACAGAAAGCGAGAAATCACCCCCCAGGGGGGATGGTCACGCCGCAATCCCTTCTCCTCCATTCTCCTCTCAGGATCTTGGGCACACACGCACACGCGCCCGGCATGAGTTTTAAGCCACCGGGTCCGGGACACGAACCGCGGTCGACTACATGGGAGTCCAGCAACATAGCCATTACGCTAACTGCTGGTTCCCTAAAAGGGAAATATCTTTATGTACCACACTTCCCCTAAAAAAGGGAAAACAATTAAGCAATTAGCCATCCTTGAGATTATATTTTAGTTTTGTTTCTTCTATCTGCCTTGCATAGTTCTCAAATGAAAATCTGCCTAAAAATGGCAATTTAGGGACCAGCAGTTAACGTAATGGCTATGTCACTGGACTCCCATGTAGTCGATGCGGTTTAAGTCCTGGACCCTGGCTTAAAACTCACGCCAGGCATGTGTGCGTGCGTGCCCAAGATCCCCAGAGGAGAATGGAGAAGGGATTGAGGTGTGGCCATCCCCCTGTGGGGGTGATTTCTCGCTTTCTGTCTCTCTGTCTCTGACTGGTGAGCACAAGCGCCCTATAGCAAAAACCTCTCCAAAAAAAATTTTTTTAAATGGCAATTTAGATTTCTGAATGTAGTAGCTTGTTCAACTACAAATGCTATTTTTAAACTATTAATGTTCATGATATGCTTGTAAAAATATATATACATACCTCTGTTGAAAGCCTGTTAGAAATGGTGTTCTCCAAAGCAGATGAGCAATACAGCTGTAAGGTACTGAGAACTGGCAAAGACTGTGAAACTGTTAAAGTAGAAAGTCTCAGTGGTCCAATAGCTATGCGAGAGGTTTGCTTCAAATATTTTACTACATTTCTGAAACAAAAAATTTACTGTCAATTAATAAGACTTTTCAACTTATAACCACTAAAGGAATAAAGCAATTGATAAGATGCTACCAGAGTGACATCCAAAGACAGGGAAAGAAAGAGCAGCCTACTCTACAGTAAAATTACATGAGTGGGGCCAGCAGGTGGCGTAGTGGTTAAGAAGATGGATTCCCACATGGCTGATTGTGGTTCAAGTCCCATACTCAAAAGCATGAAACTCGGGAACCAGCAGTTAGCGTAATGGCTATGTCACTGGACTTCCACGAAGTCGACCGCGGTTAGCGTCCTGGACCAGGTGGCTTAAAACTCACACTGGGCGCGTGTGCGTGCGTGCTTAAGATCCCAAGAGAATGGAGGAGAAGGGATTGCAGTGTGACCATCCCCCCTGGGGGGTGATTTCTCGCTTTCTGTCTCTATGTCTCTCTCTGTCTGACGAGCACACGCGCCTTATAGTGAAAATCTCTCAAAAAAAAAAAAAAAGTATCAAACTCATGCCAGGTGCATGTGCGTACTTGCCCAAAATCCCTAGAAGAGAATGGAGAAGGGATGTGGTGATTCCCCTGTAGGGGTGTGGGGAGTGATTTCTTTACTTTCTCTCTCTGTGTCTGTCTCTCCAGCAAGCACATGCACCCTATAAGCGAAAATCTCTCTCTCAAATGGGTCTGGGAGTTAGTTTCAACTCAGTATATGCTCGCCAGTGGCATTCACATATCATGATTTCTTATAAGGAAAACAAAGCTCTTAAAATTTGTATTTTGTGATCCAATAACTGTCTCCTCCTGGCTGCCCCCTACTCCACCCCAGTATACAGACTTGTTGTGTGATATATAAGTTCATAATGTGCATTTACTTAAAGAGTAAACTTACTCAGTTATAGACTGCCACTTTTGATCTTGTTCTATATGGTTTAAAGCTGTTGCCAAGCACACAGAACTTCTCAACAACTGGACTTCAATGGATTTCTGAAGTTCCCTGGGATCTGGACTTAACATATTAGGAAGCAGTTTTTTCATATCTGTAGAAGTTAAATAAATAACATTAAATTGATTAGCTTTTAATGTATGAATGATAATACATCTTGACAGTATTAAAAAAAAAATCATTGATGAATACCATCTTTCATATTTAAGTTCAGGCAGCTAACCACTATAATTAATCATTTCTAACAGGCTCCATAAAAAAAATCATTATTTCATTTAAAATCATAACTTAGATCCCTAAAAATCAGCTGACTTCTAAGACTCAAAAATCAGTAAGTTAACCAGCTCCTTAAAGGGGCAAACCTTGACCTACATTAGCAAGTCTTACTGAATCTACGAAATCATCGCTAACAGAATCCTCACAATACAAATTTTACCATGTTATTTTATAAAATGCTCCATTTATGAGGAAAAAAACTTCATAAGCAATATCAAAGTGAAAATCAAGAATATTTAACTTAAACACTGCACTGCACTTTCCAAAACAAACAGCTAGATAAATCTTGAAGTATAAATGTAGACTTTTAAAAGCTAATTAACTAATTTTTCCTTTAATTTGCCAAATCAAACATAAATAGGATAGCCCTAAATTTTGTCATCTCATCTGGACTTTGCCCCCTAATAAATGTGTAACAAGTTTCAGATTTTCTAGGAATATATACTAAGCCAAACATTCTGGGCAATTTGTCTATAAAACTAATTAATTTTGAAGTTATTTTTTGGGGGCCAGCAGGTGACATGGTGGTTAAGGGTGCTGGACTCCCACATGGCCGACCACAGTTCAAGTCCCAGACCTGGCGGCTGGCTTGCTTGCTTTGCTTTCTCTCTCTCCCTCTCCCTCTCCCTCTCTCTCTCATTCACACAAACACACACACACTCTGTCCCTCTCTGGTCCAATTAAAACAAATAAATAAATAAACAAAATAAAGTTAAATAAAATAATTCTTTAAAAAGAAGTTATTTTCTCAATACCTATTTTTTCTTTTGATCCTCCGGCAAGTAGATTGATATTTTCTCCTGGTAACAATTCCAATTGCTCAGTACATTCAACAAATTCTCCAGACTCAAAACTGCTTAGGGATCTGTAATGAAAATGTTGGTTAGTTTGCATTATACTGTAATTTAGCCTCTGGACCATTACAAAAATATTAATAGTAGTAGTAATAATAACAAATAGAACTAAGTCTAGGAAAAGAGTCCAATATGCTGTCTTCTTCTGAAAAAATACTTTCAACAAGTATGTCACTGCGTTCATTTTGAGGATCATCTCATCTGGACTTTGCCCCCTAATAAATGTGTAACAAGTTTCAGATTTTCTAGGAATATATACTAAGCCAAACATTCTGGGCAATTTGTCTATAAAACTAATTAATTTTGAAGTTATTTTTTGGGGGCCAGCAGGTGACATGGTGGTTAAGGGTGCTGGACTCCCACATGGCCGACCACAGTTCAAGTCCCAGACCTGGCGGCTGGCTTGCTTGCCTTGCTTTCTCTCTCTCCCTCTCCCTCTCCCTCTCATTCACACAAACACACACACACTCTGTCCCTCTCTGGTCCAATTAAAACAAATAAATAAATAAACAAAATAAAGTTAAATAAAATAATTCTTTAAAAAGAAGTTATTTTCTCAATACCTATTTTTTCTTTTGATCCTCCGGCAAGTAGATTGATATTTTCTCCTGGTAACAATTCCAATTGCTCAGTACATTCAACAAATTCTCCAGACTCAAAACTGCTTAGGGATCTGTAATGAAAATGTTGGTTAGTTTGCATTATACTGTAATTTAGCCTCTGGACCATTACAAAAATATTAATAGTAGTAGTAATAATAACAAATAGAACTAAGTCTAGGAAAAGAGTCCAATATGCTGTCTTCTTCTGAAAAAATACTTTCAACAAGTATGTCACTGCGTTCATTTTGAGGATAGGACTACCATTACTTAATAAGCACTAAAATTAAGAGTGGCAAAATGGGAAACGTCACAGCTATATACATTCAATTGGGCTCACCCCTCCATTTCTTTCTTTCTGGACTATTAATTTCAGGGCCTGACCAACCCTGACAAGAGACCTCTGCGAGGCATATAGTTCTCCCCAAGCTACTGCTTAACTCCCTGCATAGCCTCGTTCCTCACCTGAAGCATAAGTTCCTGTAGATTTCCTACCACATTAATCTTGTATCTTAGTCCTGCCTTCTTTCTGCTGCCATTCCTCCCCCTTTACCGCTATTTCACTGAACCTATTTTTCTTCTTCCAAAGAATTCCTTTCCATCTCCTCTCTTTACCTGAAGAATGATGACACTTCTGAAGCTGTTTCCTTCAGTCCCACAGCATCAATGCCAGGGTGCAAAGCCACATCATCCTAGTTCCGCACTGCTCCTTTCAGAGCCCTCCCTCTCAGTCCCCCATTTCTACTATAGCTGTTCTCCAACCCAGAAGATGACTTAACAGTTTTCTCAGTCTCTCTTCTCAAACTGTCTGACCCATTCACAGTGGCAAGTCCCTTACAACTCAGCCGGAAGGCAGCACCATAAATACACATCACCTCGAATACTCTGCACCTGCTTCTACCTAGAGCAGTGCAACCTCCGGCTTCTCAGGTAAACCAGAATTACTGGGTACTGACTGACTGCTGAGGTTTCAGGACCAGGACATTTATCACTGCTGCCACTATGAGGTTAAGTCCTACATAGTGGCAGGGTCCTCATGTCCTCTACAATGCCCTGTACTTCCATCTCAGAATGACTCTTATGGAAGAAGAAAGGGCTTTACCATCCTCCTCTACCATTACCACCAACCTACCATACACTCCCAAAGCTGTGTCTATCCCCAACTTCAACTGGTTTCCTTGATGCACAGGAAAGGTGAGATCCAACTAATCCTTCCTCCTGTTTCCAGTGTTCTTTCTCCTACTTCTAGTGTCTCCTCCTCCCAGGCCTAAAAAACACTTATTCTCTGTAATACTCAAAATAAACACATAACATTCTTCTCTACCCACAGCCTCCTCTCCTTGACTTCAGGAAAATAAACAGACCAAATAACTTATCTGAAGCTTTTCATTTTTGAGTATCTCCACTACTAATCAACCTACCTTCTTCTCCGTATCTCTGCAAAACAACCCTTTTCTGTAATCCTGGAACACCTGACAAGGCTGACCACTCCCATCTGGATCTCCTACATCCTGGACACTTCTTTAATCTTCAAGTGCTTTATTCAGCGAAGCCTCTCCCATGCTTTCATAAAGATACTAAAAAAGATTCTGGCCATGACATTTTCCCTTTCATCACTATCCCCCAAAGGCTTATCTCTGGTTTGGAGGCCCTCAACCTCTCCTTTAAAGGATTAAAATTTGCATCTTCTGTATATAATGCCATATCTGGCTGCCTGGCGCACAGGTATGTGCTCAAGGAAGAAAGTACCCATTAGCCAATTCCCCAGTAGAGTAAGTGTGACATACAGTCTGACAACCTTTACCTTCCTAGCCAAGTTCCGGGACATAGTGAGTATTGCATTTTGAGTTACAAGATTAATAAATGCACAGAGGAACAAGAAGAAAAGCAACAAGAAACAGTTTAATTTCCAAATGTTCAAAGTGTCTTTATCAGAACAAGTATTTTTTATATATTCAACCCTAACTTAAAAGCAAAGCCAGCAAATACGACCCTTTCTAAAGGCACTTTCACGTCATATTCTCTAGGTTTCAGAACAACAGATTCCAAAAACTAATACCAAACACCTGCCTCAGCAACTATGAGTCTCTTTTCCCACTGTGAAAGTTTCTTCCCCAACTCTGAAGTTGGTTTCCTGTTATAGTAATTTTTATAACAGTACGACCACTTTGTTTTAGTAGATATGACCATTTTTTCCTGCCACAGAGGAAGAATTTATAGTTACAGAAAATTTATTTTAAATGGGGGGTGGGAAGAGTATAATTTATAACTGAAAGAAACCTTACTTGATGTAATTGAAGTCAGCTTTTAGGTTGAGGGAAGTACTACTGGTACTCTTTTTCAAGTCGTGGATAGCATTCTGCCATTCCTGTACAGCCGCCCAATCAGCAATCGAAATGTAGCACTCACAGGTTTTATTTCCTAAGTAATTTATAACTTCAGGGGAAGAGTCAGTTGGCTTAGACAACACAGTTTTTCTGGATTCACCTGAGTGAAAGTATTGTATAAAAATCAGAAGAGATTTACAATTCAATTATAAATCCAAAAAATTACAAATATTTCAAGAGCATAAAAACCTAAAAGACAAACAGTAAGATCAACAGCATAAAATATTTAACCACAACTTATGGTGCCTTATTAAATACAGAATGCTCACCATTCACAGAATGTTTGGGACTGGCACTGTTACGTCCAGAATTGGCTAATGTGAGGACAGATTTGTCAAAGCTGGAGATGCAGCAATCAACACCTGTCATGGCACACAGATGCTCCTGGTACTCCACAGAGGCCTTTTCAAACCTTAAATGCAAATTGAAGCAGTCTTATTTTAGATATACATACTTAAGTCCCAAAAAAGCAATGGTGAAAGAATGAATTAATTAATTAATTGAGACAATAAGTTAAAAGATTCTGCAAAGAAGGTGGTGAGGAGGCAAATTAAATCTCTTCCTCATGACAAATGAAAATAAATTTAAAAACAGTTAGATGTCTTTAAAAAAAAAATGGCAATGTGGGGACCAGCAATTGGTGTAATGGCTATATCTCTGGACTTCCATATATAGTTGACCACGGTTCGAGTCCCGGCCCCAGCGGCTTAAACTCACATTGGGTGCGTGTACATGCATGTTCAAGATCCTGAGAGGAGAATGGACTGTGGTGTGTTTATCCCCTCTGGGGGAGGGGGGGGTGATTTCTCGTTTTCTGTCTCTCTGGTGAATGCATGTACCCTATAGCAAAAACTTCTCCCTGAGAAAAATGGCAATATAAGATACTAGCAGAAAATGTAAGTAACTGATATCAATGTCTAGAAATACTATGTAAAAGGATAACTGCAAAAAAAAAAAAAAAAAAAAAAAAAAAGAATCAGAAAGTAACAAGTCTAGCTACATAATAATGGAACTTGTGGGCATGCAAAACAACATGAACATAATCCATTTTTTAAAAATCAAAACTGGTCAGTACGACATGCAGAAGGTTCTACTGTTAGTCATTAACAAATGAGGAAATACAATTTTTCATTTATTGTGGTGGCAGGGTTCTTGTTTCTTGGTGATTTTCAGTATTCACAAGGAGGATGGGAAAAGAATGTACCCAGTTGTTAGGGGTATAAATTGAAAAAATTCTTTTCTATAGGGTAACTTAGCAATAATAATATGTATCATAACTATCATTATCAATAGGTTTTTTTCTAGTAAATCAACTTATAGAAATGGATTTTAAAAAGTAGTAAGAAATATAAGCAAGTGTCCATGCCATGGTACATCAAGATTAGTACAAAACATCAGAAAGAACATCAAAGTCCAAAAATAAGGAACATTAAATTATGCAACATACACAAATAAATACAACTGTCAATGAAAAAAATCACATGATGTTTAACAGGGCAAAATACTGGTTTAAGTATAGCTGAGTAGAAAAGTAGTTTATAAAAATCATGTGCCTAGTTATGCTTGCTGTTTCTGTGAAAGAGGAGAGGGGGGCAGCATGATGGAAAGATAAAATGTGACGCTTGGCAAGGCAGACCCACGTTATAAGGCTCCAGGTTTGCATCTGAATCCCTGAGTATACAGTACACAAGCATGCTCATGCATGGTCTGCGATGGCTGAGATGAGGGCTGGATCATGGCATTGAGACCCTGATAGGGTGCTTTTTGACTATCTATCTAATGGGAAAAAATAGATGAATGAATAGACTTAAAAAAGGAGGAGGAAGAAAGCTATGTTTGAGAGAAAAACAACTAGAAAGGCATATACACTGGCACCAGACAGAGGCACACTGGTAAAACGTGATGCTCTGCCAGGCTGATGCACATGGGAAGGTTGCCAGTTACAACCTGGAGACCTCCCTGTGTACATGAGGCACATGTGCATGCCCATGATCCAAGGCTGGCTGAAGCTGAGACTGGATCCTGGCACAGAGGCCTGTCGAAGGATCTGTGTCAAAAGAAAGGAAGGAAGGAAGAAAGATAGAAAGATAGACAAGACAGAAAGAAAGAAAAGGCAGATACGCCAAAACTAAAAGTTACCACAAGGAGATGGAATTATGAGTTATTTTTCTAAATTTCTGAGATTCAGTTAAGGTACCATAAATGGGTACAGACTATGATAGCACTTGCTCTTTTACCTAGAGGAATCTAATGAGTTTGAATGTAGAGCTCGCAGGAATAACTAGCAAACATCCTAGCAATAAAGGGTAACCTGTAGTAAACTGTGATACAGAAGGTTCTCAATTAAGGATCAAGTTCAAAAAATTTATGGGATGAGCAGATGGCGTAATGGTTATGTTGCCGGACTCCCACATAGTTGACCGTGGTTCCAGTCCTGGACCTGGTAGCTTAAAACTCATGTCAGGTGCATGTGTGTGCATGCCCAAAATCCTAAGAGGAGAATGGAGGAGAAGCAATTGCGGTGTGGCCATTTCCCTTGGAGGGCAATTTCTCGCTTCCTGTCTCTCCAGTGAGCAAGCATGCCCTAGAGCAAAAATCTCTTTTAAAAAAAGAAAGAATTTATAATTTAAAAGGTAACTGATGAATTTTGTTTTCCAGTATGATTCCCTAATAATTCCTAAATAAGAAAGGCATTCAATTACTACTAGAAAAGACTAGACATGCCTCCTGGTGAAGTGATTTGTAACAATCTTCAATTGCTGCAAATGAACAAAGCTGTTTTTTTAAAAGAGAGATTTTTGCTATGGGGCACGTGCACTCCCTGGAGAGACAGAAAAAGAGAAATCAACCCCTAGGGGCGATGGCCAATCCACAATCCCTTCTTCTCCATTCTTCTCTCAGGATTTTGGGCACACATGCACATGCACTCAGCATGAGTTTAAGCCATCAGGTCCAAAACTGAAACCAAGGTCCAATAAGTGGGAGTTGCACAGTATAACCATTACACCATCTGCTTGCTGGTCCTGAACAAAGCTGTTTTAACATTCAGCCACAATGTTAGCCAGTAATACAAAGGATTTCATGATAAAGTAATGCCATCGCTCTTCTCCTTACTTCCAACTTACCTTCCTTCAGCCTGTTGGGCCACTGAGTTAATCCAGAGAAGATTTTTCCCAACGACAGATGATGACCAGACAGCAATTCCCTGGATAGCTTCAGGACAATGAAGTTCACATAGTGCTTCTACTACCATCATAATCGTTACTTCCAATTCATTTCCCTGAAAATGACATTTAGAAAAATGAATCACAGACTTCAACTACCATTAAAATCCAAAGCCTTAACTAGATTTACAACTAGTGATCACAATCTAAGTATATTAAAAGTCAGATGTACTTGATAGTTATTGTCACAATTTTCACAACATTTAGCTTAGATTACTTAAAATATTACATAAAAGCAGCTTAAAAAGTTAACTAATAAGCCTTTAGTCATTACCAAAAAGTTAAGCATTTAACCTGTGTCATCTACTGGAATAAAACATAGACTCAACGGAAAGCAAAAATTAAATGCTAATAAAGAATGATTAAACATCATACCTTTGAACATGGTTTACTAACATTACTTAATTTAATCAATGACATTTTGCTATTTTGGGGGGGGGGGTCCACTAATTTACTGTGAACCTCTTACAAAACAGGAATTATACACTTTTCTATACATTACAAATATCATTTCTCCCAAAGATAAATTTTTTAGAATTTTCTTTAAAGTTCTGTAAGTCTAAGACATGTAATTTTACATGTTCTCTGTAGAAAACATATATATGACCGAACGTTTAAAATACAGGACCAGCACATGGCGTAATGGTTACATCACTGGACTCTCACAAAGTGGACAGCAGTTTAAGTCCCAGAACGAGCAACTTAAAACTCATGCTGGCCTGTGTACGTGTGTGCCCAAGACACCAAGAGGAGAATGGAGAAGGGACTGCTGTGTGGCCAACCCCCACGTGGGGTGTCTTCTCACTTTCTGTCTCTCTAGCAAGTGCACGTGCCGTATAGCAAAAATCTCTACAAAACCAAATAAAAGTTTTATAATATATGTAAGTTTTCATTTATTTTACCCTCAGGTTAAATAATACCACAGGAATGAAACCCAAGTTTTTCTAATTAACATTTAAAATGAATCTCACACTCTTTACCTGAGAGAGATTTGTCTTCACTTCTGTAAGCAAGTCAAAGCCATGCCTCACTGTCACAGCAGGCTGACCTGCCAACAACCCAACTCTCATGATAGACAGTCGGATCCGAGTCAGCCAGTCTTGGCAAGTTTGGCGATTGGTATAGAAAAAAGTCCTTATGACCTTTAGAATAAAGGGAAAAAAGAGCTCAGGATTGGTTCAAACAATATATCTCATGTACATAAACCCTGAAACACAGGACTACTCTCCACATGCTGCCAAGTTTGACCATGAAACTGATACAAAACAAACACAAACCTACAGAAACCAACCTTAGGAGGCGACGTTAATGCATTAGCACATCCCTCATATGCATTATACATTAATTTCTCCAAGTTTTCCAGATACTGCAGAAGAAGAACAAGCCTAAGCTGGTTGCTACCGTGGCCTTCGTCATTATCTGCAGTTGTCCACTGACTAACGTCTTGATCAGGATTTAATGTGTGAGCTGCAAGACTTCTAATGATACCTGAAAGCAATATAACATTCTACACTGAAATAAAGCCTTAAAATATGAATTAACTTGAAATTCACATCAAGTATCTGACTATCCATTACTGAAAATGAAAAACTGCAACATGAAAGATCTTTCATTTTAGGGAGACCATGTCTCCACACAAATTCCCTATTTTGGAACAAACCACCAACATGTTACCTACCTCTCCAATTATTCAGTAAAAGCTTATTCTAACAAATATACCTAAAAATTACTGATAAAGCATCAGGAAAAAATTATATAATCTTCTATCTTTGTTTTAAAACAAAGATTTCAAAATCCACCACTTCTTAATGAATAAGGCTCTATAAATAAATATGTACATCACGAAGCTTGAAAAAGCACAGAGGGTAGGTTACCTTCAATTGTCTGGAAGGTATCTTGAGCTCTGCCCAGTGGGGTTCTCAACTTAGAAAGGACAGTGAATTGTGCTGCTTCCCAGATAGCCCATTGCCAAAGGACGGCATCTGTCTTTAGAAGATTGCGGGGAATTGTTGATTGGTCACGCTTATCCAGTCTCTGGCAGCTATAGAACAATCTTTCTAACCAATTGTCCTTCCTGGGAAAAGTAGTTTCATATTTAACAGACAATGATAACTGCATATAATAATCAAGAAAAAACATTCAAGGAGAATTTCAGTAATCAAAAACATTGCAAGGACAACAAAAGTAAGCAACTACAATTTTTCCTAGTCCAAAAAAGATAAGTAAAACCTGTGAAATTGAGAAGTATCTCACTTCTTATTTTGAGGTCCCTTCCAGCAAAAAGGATGGGGCGTGGTGTGGATGACAAATGGCTCATGACAATTTGTCTGTCAGGATAACTCATTTACTGCAATTAGCATCCCCAGAATTACCTACCTCTCCCCAAAGCTCTACCCAAAGAGTTGTCAATATCAGATCAGTTAACTCAACCACATTTCAGCACTAAATTTTAAAGCAAATTTTAGCTTCTTAGGATGGATATGTATCTTCAAATCAATTTTCCTAATGAAAACTCATTTGAAAAATATATTACTTTTTACTCCACCACCCCAAATCTATTTTTCTCCCCAAAACTGGATATGAGGTCAAGATATTCTTAAAATTAAGTTTTTTTTAGATCAAAGAAATGTCTTACCCTGTTCTGTGAGAGTTCCCATATAAAATAAAACTAATAACATCAGAGAAATCTTGTGGGTGGAATGTATTACTTGGTGCTTTACTCATATGACTTCTTAATGCTAAGGAAATTTCTTGAATTTCTGTGTGATTGTTATTGCTGTAGATAGAAAGCAGTCATTGTTATGCAAAATGTTTTAGTTAAAAGCACATACTGTAAGTGATTTATTTCCTTATTAACTAAATTGGGAATAAAATGTAATAAAACTGAGACTTAAAAATGGCTACTGCGGGGGACCAGCAGGTGGCGTGAGGGTTAAGGCTCTGGACACTCCCACATGGCTGACCATGGTTCAAGTCCTGGGCCTGGAGGCTTGATTTCTCACTTTCCCTCCCTCTCTCTGTACCTCTCTCTGATCAAATTAAAATAAAAAGACTAAATAAAATTAAATAAATAATTCTTTAAAAAAAAAAAAAGGCTACTGAGAAGTTCTTACAACTTCTAATCTTAGGTTCTTAAAGTTTCCAAACCAACCAAAAACAGTTAAGATTACAGTTTAGTTCTTCAAAAACCTGAACTAAAAAACACAGTTTGGCACTTCATCTGTTACTCCATTCTAATTATTGTGAGTTATATAGCTCATTAAAAGTCAAAATTTTATTTATTTATTTTTTTAAAGAACTATTTTATTTAACTTTATTTATTTATTTTAATTTGACCAGGGAGAGACAGAGTGAGCGAGAGAGAGTGAGAAAGCAAGCCACCAGGTCCGGGACTCGAACCGTGGTTGACCATGTGGGAGTCCAGCGTCCTTAACCACTATGCCACCTGCTGGCCCCAAAAGTCAAAATTTTAAATGTTCTTCTAGACTTGCAAAATAAACCCTTTAACACCTCTTCAATTACTAAGCAGAAGCACCATACAAGACGTGGTTATTAATACACTAACAGACCATTTGCCTTCTCCTAAACTATATGATTACTAGGCAGTAAAAACAATGAAATGTCTTTGCTCCCAAAACAGCTGTTATACCTTAGGACAACATCCAAAGGAATTGATTTCAACAGCTTTCCAAACGCTTGACGAATACGAGTTCCACTATGGACAAGTTGAACACGGCAAACATCAACACACCTGTAAAAAATGAATGAAATAAATAAAGGAAGTGTGGTAATACTTCAACACTATTAGGGCCAGAGTCAAAAGACAATCTTTGGTCCATACCTCTGTAAAAGGTCATCTGGCAAGGAAGAGGACAAAGCATGTAGACTGCTGCACGCTTGCAGACAGATATTCACATCTTCAACGAGGGCTATTGGAAATTAAAAGATAGTTACTTTTTGTTTGCCAAAAGAAGTTATATGTCAATCTATCAAAAGTTCCTAAACGCATTTAATTCATTCAACAGTGAGTGTCTAATTTGGATCAAGAATCTTTACTGGCATCAGGAAAATAATAAACATTTAACAAAATCCAATTAAGTGACAAGTCCTTTCTGAGGGGAATTTTTAAAATACAGAGAATGTTTAAACATTAACATGAAAAATAATCAAGGTTGATGGTGTATTTGTCATTAAAATGGGGATTATACTTTTCAAGTCAGGGGAAGTACTCAAGTGACTGTCTCCCATTTCCAAGATACCTAATTTTTTTGGAGAGTTTTTTTTTTTTTTTGCTATAGGGCACATGTGCACACCAGAAAAACAGAGAGAGATAGAAAGCGAGAAATCACACCCCAGGGGATAGCCACACTGCAATCCCTTCTCTTCCATTCTCCTCTTGGAATGTTGGGCATGCCCACACACGTGCCTGGCGTCAGTTTATGCCACCGGGTCAGGGACTCGAACCATGGTCAACTACATGGGAGTCCAGCGACAGAGCCACAGCCATTACACCAAATGCTGGTCCCCAAAGATATCATTTTTTAAGGGTTGGTAAACAAAATTTAAAAATCATAGTCTTACTGTTGGCTAAAAGGCCTTTGCAAAATTTATGAAAAGATGGAAGAGAGAATAAAGGTGCATATGTTTCAGACTTCTTCATTAACACAGCTACTTCCAGAGCCCAAGTCATTAACAGTTTCCTGAAACAGAAAATATAGAATTTATTTTACATTTTTTTAAAAGAAAGTATTAGAAGCCTATGTGTCATGACCTACATGGCTGAATGCGTTTTCGCTCCCTACACTTATCTTCTTACGCTGGTCTTTTTTTTGGTATTCCTAGCATCTCAACCAATATGAAACAAAAATTGAAAAGTACGGAAATGACTTTGTCAAAATGGCTGATGCCTTTTATGAAATTCTCTTTTAAGTAGCATAAACTGTAGCAAAGAATATAAAAAAATCTAATACACACATTCTTCTGTAAAATGTTATGAGAGACTTATGTAATTATTTGGGGAAAGAACAAGAAAGCCTAAGTAATAAAACTAAATTATGAAGTATTTTACAATCAAGAAGCTACTCTATCCCACCTCCAAAACCCACATTTTTATTCTCAAATAATAAAGTATTAGTTACCTCGTATCCTGGTTAAGGTTATCTTTCTTAAGCAATATTCCCAGAAGATTTAATATAATTGAAAAATGTTTCTTTGTAGCTGTAGTTACTGTACTAATCACAGCTCCATCAAACAAAGAAGGGGATGAAGAACTAAGACTACTAGATATAAAGTGATCATGCCTGAAAGACAAAGTATGGATCACTACTAATTTAAAAAAAAAAAAAGTAAACAAGTTCAAAGTTACATCAACACATTTTTTAAAATGTATACTTTAAAGGATCCTTCTACCCCGTTAAACAATTAAATGTTTTATCTGTCTTTCTTGAAAAGGATTTGTAAATACGATTACCTGGTACAATGAGAGTACAACGTGTAGAGCACAGCATACTGAATGGCAGGGAAGTGAACAGCCAGGTCACCATGCACAATCATCAGATTCTTACTCAAAAGTGCGAAGACAGTTGGAGATAGTGCCCACATCTGATGACGGACAAAACAGAATAAGCTCAGGGCTCCTCCAAGATATGTACTAACTACCCCTTCCTTGCTCCTCCAGAGCACAAGACACAAACCTCCTCAAATCTGTATATAACGTGAATTCCTCTGAAATCAAATTTTCCTTATTTACATACCAGAGGGTATATAAATGAAAAAGAAAGCGCATATATGCACATACCCCTCAATGGGGCCTGGTAATGCTATAATCCCTGGTAATGCTATAATCCTCCAATTCTCCATCTCATCCAGATCTGCCCTCTGAGCCACTAGGTCCAGGAATCAAACCTCTTATGTCATGTGGGATCCACTAGCTCTGCACAAAGCTTAACCAATCAATGTCCTACCAGGCAGGTGCAAACAATCAAATCCTAGTAAGTAAAAAAGGAGGGACACCAGTGATGACATAGTGATTACAGTTCTAATACCAGGCCCAATAGCTTCAAACTCGTGCCAGGTATGTGTGCATGTGTGCCCAAAATCCCAAGAGAAGACTGGAGGAAAAGGAAATGCAGCATGGCCATCCCCCCCAAGGGGTGATTTCTTGCTTTCTGTCTGTCTCTGTCTCTCCAGAGAGTACACGCAGCCTATAGCAAAAATCTCTTCTAAAAAACAGAAGAGTTCACTACAGCCTTCAAACATGAGCCACAACTAGCAATGAGGAAAACAACAGCTACTTAATACTAGCCATCCTAATCCCATAATACGAAGAGCACAAAAGTATAACATCCAATTTTTACTTTTCTCTCCTCTTCCCTTACAAAACATAGTAATCCCTCAATTATATCCCATGACTTCCACTAAAAACAACTTTTTTCAACCTTAGAAGGTCAAAGAGGAGGGAAAAATGTAAATCATGAGCAATAATTACAAATCAAAAGCAAGGACCACTTCAAATTTCTTAAAGGGGAAAAAAAAAAACTTCATTCTTTTTCTAGATTTTTCCTAGCAAGCAGCAATCAAATACAACACCAGAGCTGGTCCAATAGTCTATAGTTGTTAAGAGAGTCAGTTCCTTCATGGCTGACCATGGTTTGTACCCAGACATTGGAGGCTTGAAAAACAGTGGTGTAGTATCCATTTAGATATGTACACATATCCAATACATATGTGTATCCAAAATCCCCAGAATACACAGAAGGGACTGCAGTGTGACCATGCCCCACTGAAGGGTGCTTTCTTCCTCTCCTTCTCTGGCAATTAAAAAAGACATTTTGAGGACCAGCAGTTAGCGTAATGGGTATGTCACTGAACTCCCATGTAGTCGACCACGGTTCGGGTCCCAGACCCAGTGGCTTAAACTCACACCAGGAGCGTGTGCACGCATGCACAAGATCCCAAGAGGAGAATGGATGAGAAGGGATAGCGCCGTGGCCATCCCCCGCCCCCGAGGGGTGATTTCTCGCTTTCTCTCTCTCTTTCTGGTGAGCACACACGCCGTATAGCAAAAACTTCTCCAAAAAAAAAAAAGACATTTTGTAGAAAATAAAACAAATGTAAAAAGGCTTGTGGGGCCAGTAGGTGGTGTGGTGGTTAAGGCACTGGACTCCCACGAGGCTGGCCACAGCAAGTCCCAGACGTGATGGCTTACTTTCTCACTTTCTCTCTGTCTGGTAAGCATACATGCCCTATATAAAATTTTAAAATAATTATAAATAAAATTAAGTCATTATTTTTAAAAAAATCTTTACCAAGACTGTCAAGGAAAAAGAAAACCAAAGTTAAATATAACGGCAGGAAAATATTCCTGCCAATTTTAATTAGCTAGGCATGTTCTAATTGTGGCCATTTACTATACAGCGATTCCAGAGATGTGACATGACAGTAAACGAAATACATAAATACACAATAAGAAAGGGCTTATCCATAAAAGAAACCAACTCATTACAACTCAAGACTCACCCCAATTAGTGAATTTTTGGCATTTCCAATTGTAGTCAGAGCACTGAGATCAAATATAACTATGAATTTTGCATTGTCCACATTGAACACATGATTCTTAAAAGCCTCATGTTTTATTTCAGAACAAGCATCAGGAAGTTGTAGGCTATGTAGCAGATTATTTAGGGCACAAGTCATTTCACCCAAAATTAACTTATAAGCAGTCTCCAAAACAGGAATATTCTTCAAGCTGAGCACTGCTTGGTAAACAGCATGGGCTACAGCAACAACCTGAAAAAGAAAATTCAGAGAAATGATAATTAAATAGAATGTAAATTTTCTAATATTATATGGAAAACAATTACCTGCAAACTACTGGTGATACAAATCAATTTAAATTTGATAAATTCACTGTGTAGACATCTAAGATCTCATTCTTTTAAAATCCCACCTCAAGGACATCTACACATTGATGAGCTTTGTTAAATCTATAGAGCATTATAATTAAAAAAAAAAAAAAAAAAAAAAGTACTCTAAATTAAAACTGTCAATTATAGCCAGCAGGTGGTGTGGTGGTTGACGTGAGAACTTCCACATGGCTGACCATGGTTCAAGTCCTGGACCTGGCAGCTTTCTCTCTCTCTCTCTCTCTCTCTGGTGAGTGCATGTGCCCTATAACAAATTTAAAATAACACCAACAATAAACAAAATTAAATAATTCTTTTAAAAATATCAGCCAACATAAAATTTCTTAAATAAATACTTTTTAAAAAAAATAATTAACAACGGGACCAGCAGTTAGCATAATGGCTATGTCGCTGGACTCCCACGTAGTCGACCGCGGTTCGAGTCCTGGACCCGGTGGCTTAAAACTCACGCCGGGCGCGTGTGCATGCGTGCCCAAGATTTCAAGAGGAGAGTGGAGGAGAAGGGATTGCAGCGTGGCCATCCCCCCTGGGGGGTGATTTCCTGCTTTCTGTCTCTCTGTCTCTCTCTGTCTGTCTGGCGAGCACACATGCCCTAAAGCAAAAACCTCTCAAAAAAAAGTAAAAGAAAAAAAAATAATAATAATTAACATCAAAATGCACAGGCAAACTGTAGTTTGTGACTTTTTCCTACATCTGCCTGTAGTCTATAAGGGATCTGACTCGGAGTTGGTTAAGAAGCTAATAATTAACAAGATGCATAATACTTAATTTATACATTTATAAACATAAATTTAAACATTTATAAACTCATTGGTTTTATCTTTACGAAAAATTTAAATGAATAGAATAAAACAAATTCTACTAAACCAGGCCAGTGGTATGGTGGTTAAGGTGGCTGGATCCCACTTGGCCGCCAGCACTGTTCAAGTCCGAGACCTGGCAGCTTGAAGAACACACCAGGTGTGTGTTTATATATGCCCAAAACACATAAAGAAGAAATGGAAGATGGAGGAGAGGGGACTAGGACGTGACCATCTCCCATTGGAAGTGCCTTCTTAACTCCCTCTGGTGAACACACATGCCCTCTAGTAAAATTTTTAAAATTAAATGAACAACAAATGCTGGGGTTTGTTTTTTTTTTAAAGAAAGATTTTTGCTATAGGGCATGAGCACTTGCCAGAGAGACATAGAAACAGAAAGTAAGAAATCACGCCCCTGTAAGATGGCCATGCTGAAATCCCTTCTCCTCCAACCTCCTCTAAGGATTCTGGGAATGCACACACACATGTCTAGAGTGAGTTTTAAACCATCGCGCCTGGGACTTAACCATGGTAAACTATGTGTGAGTCCAGCGACGTAACCATTACACCATCTGTTGTTCCCAAATGCTTAATATTCTTTTTTTGTTGTTGTTGAGAGGTTATTGCTATAGGGCGCGTGCGCTCGCCAGCCAGAGAGACATAGAGACAGAAAGCGAGAAATCACCCCCCAGGGGGGATGGTCACACCGCAATCCCTTCTCCTCCATTCTCCACCCAGGATCTTGGGCACACACGCACACGCGCCCAGCATGAGTTTTAAGCCACTGGGTCTGGGACGCGAACCGCGGTTGACTACGTGGGAGTCCAGCGACATAGCTGTTAAGCTAACTGCTGGTTCCTGCTTAATATTCTTAAAAAAAAAATTGTCTGGCACATTATTCACCAAGACACACAGCATGATCATCAACACATGTCAACTTAGGCCCAGCCTTGAGGACACAAGCAGCAGTATACTGAACTACAGTGCTAGAAGACTACAAGTTTGAATCCTAAGTCAACCTGAAACACGTCAGGTGGGCATGCCCAAGATCATGACAGAATGGAAAGTTGGGGAAAGTAGGACTGCAGCGTGTTAAGATACTGCTGAGGGAGAACCAGCAGTTAGCGTAATGGCTATGTCGCTGGACTCCCACGTAGTCGACCGCAGTTCACGTCCCAGACCCGGTGGCTTAAAACTCACGCCGGGCACGTGTGCGTGCGTGCTCAAGATCCCGAGAGGAGAATGGAGGAGAAGGGATTGCGGCGTGACCATCCCCCCTGGGAGGTGATTTCTCGCTCTCTGTCTCTATGTCTCTCTCTGTCTGTCTGGCGAGCGCACGCGCCCTACAGTGAAAATCTCTTAAAAAAAAAAAGATACTGCTGAGGGTGCCACCACCCCCCTCAATAAATAAATATAATTAAAAAAAAAAGTAAATATTAACTTAGAAGAATCATTATAGTCACTATATCCTGAATAAAATATGTATTATGTCACTCAATTTCACTTATGTAGCTTACTAAGTACAAAAATTCAACTCCTCAATGACCCAAGTTATGAAAGTCATCATCAATAGAACACTTACCTCTTTCTCTTTATGATAACGCAAAAATAGCAATTTAGATGACGGTATAAACAGTTTTTCTACAAATGATGATGGTAGTTTGGTATTTATCTGTTCAACAATCTAAAAAATAAAATACAATAAAAATGAACGTTTTAAATCACAAATAAAGACATGGAAGAATCTTAAATGCATTCTTTTTTTTTTTTTGGAGAAGTTTTTGCTATAGAGCACATGCACTCACCAGAAAGAGAGATTCAGAGAGACAGAAAGCGAGAAATCACCCCCCAGGGGGGATGGCCACACCGCAATTCCCTCTCCTCTCAGGATCTTGTGCACGCACACACACGCACCCAGTGTGAGTTTAAGCCACCAGGTCTGGGACCCGAACCGTGGTCAACTACATGGCAGTCCAGTGACATAGCCACTATGCTAACTGCTGGTCCTATTAAATACATATTGCAAAGTGAAAGAAGCCAATCTGAAATGGCTATAAACTTTTGATTCCAACTCTATGATATCATAGAAAAGGCAAACTACGAAGATAGTAAAAAAATAAATAAATAAATAAATAAATAAAAATTTTAAAAAACCCAGTCTTCTAGGGCTTTCCAGGGAGTAAGGGGAGGAGGAAAGGGTCAAGTGGAGCACAGGGCATTTTAGGGCAGTGGAGTGATCCTGTATGATCCTGTAGTAATGACAGACTATACAACATAGAGTGAATCCTAAAGTAAACCATGAACTTTAGTTAACAATAAAGTATCAACATTTGCTCACCAACTATAAAGAGTGTACCGCAGCAACACAAAGCATCAATAATAGGGGAGAGTGGGAGAAGGTTATATGGGAACTCTGTATTTTTCACTAAAAAATTTTCCTGTAAACCTGAAAAATGAAGTCCATTAATTAAGGAAAAAACAGGATATGTAATTTTAAAGCCTGTGACAATGTGAATTTAAAGTGTTCAGACAACCTAAGTAGGATATATATAATTTTTTTTTAGGGAGAGTTTTGTTATAGGGTGTGCGCACTTGCTGGAGAGACAGAGTGACAGAAAGCGAGAAATCACCCTCCAAGGGAGATAGCCTCGCTATAATCCCTTCTCCTTCACTCTCCTCTCAGGATCTCAGGCACACAAGCACACACACCCGTCCTGAGTTTGAAGCCACCGGGTCCAGGACTCAGACCGCAGTCGACTACATGGAATTCCAGCAACATAACCATTATACCATCTGCTGGTACCAGGATACATTCTATGTACTTTAAGCCATACTTAAACATGGATTTTTTTTAAACTGGCAAAGGGAAAATATAACTTCTATGTCACCCAAGATATAACTTTGGCAAAAATTCTCAGCAGAAATATAATCTGGAATTTGCTTTAAAACAAGTCAGTTGTAGGGGGCAGCGGGAGGCATGGTGATTAAGGTGTTTGTCTCCCATAAGGTCAACCACAATTCAAGTCCCTGAACTGGAAGCTTGCTTTCTCACTTTCTCTTTTTCTCAGATGAGTGCATGTGCCCTATAGAGAAATAAATAACAATAATAATAAATAAAATTAAATAATTATTTTTAAAATTAATAATCCAGTTGTAGATGGAGATATAACAAAGACACTGCAGAAAATCATCAGCCTAGGTGAAACCTGATGAGCCACGTGTTTCTAGCTACAGAAGCTGTGAAGTTATGAAGTATGCAGAGATTTAGTACCCTATGGTTTGTGTTTCAGAATTTCCGTTAGAAAATTTGGGGGTAGGGGTAGATTTATGGCAAATAAATAAATAAATGGAATAAAAACTACAACATAACTTGAAATGAGAAACAAAAAATAACAGGACCTTTAAAACAACTATCAAGTACCTTCTTTTATTTATCAACAGGACTAGAGATTCAGGTGAAGAATGATGCTTTACTAAAAAAAAAAGTAAAGCTACACTGAGATGAGCTATCAAACACTAAAATAGAAATTAGAACAAAAGCATGCTATATTATATAAATAAGACTCTAAAGACTTTCCTCAATTTCTTCTGTATCAATTTAAACTTGAGGGTCTGAGTAAATGAATACATTTCAAAAAACAAAAAAGAGTAATTCACATACCAATGTGAGTAAATTCAAGACTGAGATGATATAATCGGTACCACAAGTCTGGCAGTTCTCCAGTTGGTCTAATCCATATGTAATGACCATGTCACAATGTATAGTCATGCTAGGATCCAAGCTGCCGAGCAAAACACCAACACACTCATTAGCAGCTGTCAACACAGCCTCAGAAAAAAACACTTGGTTTGCAGCCGTCACACATCTCATTACTCTGTACAGAACCTGCAAATGGGGAAAACAAGCAGCTTTTAAAAAAAAAAACTTACATGCTTCCACAAAGCAAGAAAACAGTTTCTATTTAATGCAGTTTCAACTAAAAATTAACTGTCTGCCTTGTCAGCAGTCTCTTAATATTCTATTTCTCAGTAGTTAAATAAAAAGGATGTCATTACTACATCACACAAAAATAACCTTGGCTAAGAAAATTCCAAAATACCACTATGACAAGAAATGGGATGTGCCATCCTCCCTTTCCCTTATACTGACTTCCTCTCCCCCACACCCACTAAATGACTGAAACTCAAAATCTTCAGAATCATGACATACCCCACAACTTAGATTAGTAACAGCATTAACAGCATGGGAATAACCTGCTCATCCTTAGTGCAATCTAGCTCTTGGGCTTTTAGTAAATCATCTCTTAAAACAAAACAGCCAAGCCATCTTAAGCTTATTAAAAGCCACGTAGTGATGATCTCTTTTAAAAGACAAGTATTCTTATGCTTAAACACATAGTACTTATTAAGGAATACAAAAATTCTAATTTCCAACACATACACAAAAAGACTCAACTATAATGGTCAATATTTTGTATACTAAATTTCTAATAAAAATAACTGAGGGGAAAATAGAACAAATTAGTGCCAAAAACATTTCTATAAGTGTAAACAACCTCTATATATAAGATCTTACTCCCTTTCTAACCTTTGTCTGAGTTGTTAAAATTATTCACAAAAAACTAAAAGAACATCATAAAATGATAAATTTAGTATATAAATATTCTGCAAAGTAACTGTGTTCCTTTCTCTTTGTTTTGCATTTCAGTTAACTATTTGTATTTCACCTTTTAGCCAATCATCTTTTAAACAGTAAAAATGGAATAAAGAGAAACCATTTAGATCAGGTTTAAAATATCAACATGTTGAATTATCTTTAGATCTGATATTTTTCCAATATAAAAGGTACTGAGAATTACATATATTAACATCTTATTTCATCTAGCAATATATCCAACAAAAGTAAATGCTCCAAAGAGCCAGAGTTTTCTATCCCAACACCAAACTGTAATGTTTTAAATGCAATCCTTTATCACCAGATGTCATGTTTCTCTTTTTGTATTTGAGCAGGGTACAATGCCTAGGGCTCACTCCTCATATCTAGTCACTCAACGACACATTCACTGGGCTGGGCCACAGTGCAGCTAGCATTTGAAGCTGAAGTGTGCCATCTATTTACTCCTCATAACTAGTCTCAGCCCATTATATGTTTTAAATATGTACCTTTACATTCTCTGATAGCTTGGTATCAAAGAATATAAAGATATGCAAATTTCACATGGATTTCATCCTGTTATGCTCACAGAAAATGTGTATTATGAAAAACACTCTTGGGATCAGCAGTTAGCGTAATGACTATGTCGCTGGACTCCCATGTAATCGACCGAGGTTCGAGTCCCGGACCCGGCAGCTTAAACTCATGCTGGGCACATGTGTGTGCGTGCCCAATATCCCGAGAGGAGAACGGAGGAGAAGGGATGGCGGTGTGGCCAACCCCCCTGGGGGGTGATTTCTTGCTTTCTGTCTCTCTGTCTCTGTCTTTCTGGCGAGTGCATGCGCCCTGAAGCAAAAACATCTCCATTAAAAAAAAAAAAAAAAAACTCTCGTGGATTTCATGGGTTTTTTTGGTACAAAAATAATTTCATTTTCCTACAAACTTTCTGACACACGTCTTCTAGTCACGTGTCACATAGCAATACTTATGTCAGCAACGGACCACATATATGAAGGTGGTCCCTTAGGATTACAATAGGCTATGCCATATGGCGTAGTGTGTAGTACACTACACCATCATCTAAGTTTGTATAAATATAGTCTATGATGTCTGGACAACATCGCCTAATGACACATTTCTTGGAACACATCCCTATTAAGAGGCATATGACTGTTGTAAGTCGTTCTTAACATGTTGAAAAACTAAAAGATGACACAATAATTTCAAAACAAAATTAAAAAATGAAAAGATTCAACAATTATATATTCAATAAAAATAAATAGATCTGTGAAGGGTTTCCTAAGATAAAATGTTCACCAATGTTTCAAAATTCAGAATGGCCTTTCTCTCAAGGGTGAAGGAGGGGAAGTTGGGGGTGGGAGACAAAGGAATGAAAGGAAGATAGAATACAACAGGGTTCTCCACTTCTATGGCTATTCAAAAAAGTAAGCAGATACATACATGCTAAAGAAATAAAGGGTGGGGGTAAGAGAGTTCACTAGGTAAGGAGAAGTATTTATAATACAAAAATAACCTTATCTGTGAATGACACCTGAATCCCCTAAAGATACTTACATCTGTTACATATGCTTCAGTGATTGGAGGCCCCCGAATTGGGCTGAAGCGTTCCCCGATGCTCCTCACCACAGTGCTAAATACCCGGAGAAGTGCTGCCAGCTTTGGTAATGACACTGATGGAGGAGGAACATCTTCATCCACTGATTCCCCAGAGGCCACATGGCTGAGGTCCTAGACGTGAATTCACAGCAGTCTTATTAAAGAAACTAGTACAGTTGTTTTTATACTTCTGCCTCTCCTAATCTTCTGCTAATATTTCATTCTAGGTATTCCTTAAGCCACTCAACACTAAGTACTCCACATCAATATCATGCACATGAAGAAAAATGAAGGGAGGGGGCTTAAGAAATTGTAAGGCTAGGGAACCAGCAGTTAGCGTAATGGCTATGTCGCAGGACTCCCACATAGTTGACCACGGTTCGGGTTCCAGACCTGGTGGCTTAAAACTCACGCCGGGGGCGTGTGCGTGCATGCCCAAGATCCCGAGAATGGAGAAGGGATTGCGGCGTGACCATCCCCCCTGGGAAGGTGATTTCTCACTCTCTGTCTGTCTGGCGAGCGCACGCGCCCTATAGCGAAAATCTCTCCCAAAAAAAACACAAAAAAAACAGAAAATAATATGGGACCAGCAGTTAGCATAATGACTATGTTGCTGGACTCCCATGTAGTCGACCGCGGTTCGAGTCCCAGACCCAGTGGCTTAAATTCACACCAGGCGTGTGACTTGCGCGCCCAAGATCCCAAGAGGAGAATGGAGGAGAAGGGATTCCGTGTGGCCATCCCTCCTGGGGGAGTGATTTCTCACTTTCTGTCTCTGTCTTTATGGCAAGTGCAAGTGCCCTATAGCAAAAACCTCTCAAAAAAAGGAAGGAAGGAAGGAAGAAAAGGAAGGAAGGAAGGAAGAAATTGTAAGGTTATAGATGTACTGATATAATCTAGTTGAAGAAGATAAACTCAGAGGAAAAGATCAACCAAAAGTGGGATGCTGGAACTAATATATAGCTACACATAATTAAATGACAAAGAGAAAAGTAGATCTTAGGGACACCAAAGGGAAGAGGACAAACTAGAAGAGAGGCTTCTGAGAGACAGACCAGCTTTTAAATAAAGGATGACCAGCCAGTAGTGTGGTGATGAAGGCAGCTGGACCCCATATGGCTGACCACAGTTCAAGTTCCAGACTCGGTGCGTTGAAAAACACACCAGGCATGCGTACATGTGTGCCCAAAATTGCAAAAAGAAAAATAGAGAAAAAATTGCAGTGTGGCCACTCCCTGTGGGGATGCTTTCTCACTTTCTTTCTTTCTAGCAAACATATACACCCTACAGGAAATTTTTAAAAATGGGCTGAGAAAGAAAATATTCCAGGTATATGAGCACCAAAAAAAATCTGAAAGCACACATACCCTATTTTCTC